TAAATGTTACTTTGGGAAGGGGCAGGAGCTGCCAGCACGACCCAGATTTTGGATTCCCGTTCCCATTTGTCACCCCACGGGCCGGGAGCAGCAGTGCCCAGAGCAGTGGGAATTGCCCATTTGGGGGATACTTACTGCAGGAAAGGCATGAGCAGCACGCAGGAACGCAGCAAGGGCCTCCTCTTGATCTCCCTACGGAAGCAGGAGTTCTGCTGGAAGCCATCCCTGATGTTGAGGATGTATTGGTTGTGCCAGGTGACAAAGCGAACCTCGCGCAGCCCGCGGCAGCTCGCCTCCTCGATCAGCCTCACCACGGGCTGGGGGAAAATGGGGGGGAAATGGGGGAGAAACAGCAGAGAAACAGGGGGAAAATGGGGGGAATGGGGATGAAACAGGGGGGAAATGCGGGGGAAACATGGGGAAAATGGGGGGGAATGGAGGAGAGAAACAGGAAAACAAGGAAAACAGGGGAAGAATGGGGGAGAAATGGAGGAGAAACAGGAAAACAGGGAAAGAATGGGGGAAGAAAATGGGGAAGAAACAGGGAAACGGGAAGAAAATGGGGGAAGAATGGGAGACAAACAGGGGGAAAGCAAGGGGGAAAACGGGGGGGGAATGGGGGAGAAAGGGGGGGAAAATGGGAGGAAAAAATGGGAAGGAACGGGGGAGAAAATGGGAAGAGACAGGGGGGAAAAGGGGAAGAAACAGGAGGGAAAATGGGAGAAACAGGGAAAGGAAATGCACACGTGAGAAACCACTCTCTCCAAAATTCCCATTCCTGTCCTACACTGCACAAACCCAGCCCTGCAGTTCTCCTGCAGCTCAAGGACCCTCAGAGTGTTATTTGTGCTATTTCTGCCCAACTCCCTCCAGTTCTCACACTCAGGAATTATTTCTGGGACTGCCAATGAGGTCTCATTGCAAACCTCAGCTGTGCCCAGCCCAAGGGCTGCACCCCACAGCTCTGGCAGAGCCTGTCCTGCCTCAGCAGAGCTCTGGGGACAGGGAAATCAATTAAAAACTGCCCAGGTAAATGGAGGTGCTGTTCTGAAGTCATAAAAACACATCAGGCTGCACAAAGGGTTCCCTGGCACTGCCACCAGCTGGTTTGCTCCCCAGTGGGACACTCTGGACAGCCTCCATGGCTCTGATGTTTCCAGGGAAATTCAAGCCACAGGATCACAGAACCACAGCCCAGGCCAGCAGAGCTGTCCCTTTATTATTGTTTTCTCAGCTGAGCACTGACTCTCATCCTCCCAGGAACTCCACATCACTCCCGTTGTGCCTGCAGGGGAAGCAGGCTGGACATGGAGGAGTTTGCTGAGGGCTGAATGCAGAATTTGGGCTTGCAGGGCTGGGAAGGGGCCATACCTCCGAGTACTCTCTCCAGCCAAAGTGGTCCCTGCAGAAATATTTCCACACCGTGTAGCAGTGGGAGCTGGAGCTGGGGCACGAGGCCGTGGACAGGCGCCGCATTTGGTCGAACTCTGCGCTTTCATATAATTTCATCTGGTTCAGATCCACCCAGAACTCCTGGCCCCTGGGAAGAATGGCAGAAACAGACAATTCTCACCTTTTGTATCTCATTAAACCCGTGGTTTTCAGCACACAGGGACAAAAACCTCAAACCCAGCAGTTGTCTGAGGTGTAGAATCCCAGAATGGTTTGGGTTGGGAGGGAGCCTGAAGCTCATCCAGTGCCAGCCCTGCCATGGCAGGGACACCTCCCACTGTCCCAGGGGCTCCAAACTCAATGTCCAACCTGGCCCTGGGCACTGCCAGGGATCTGCCCACCCTCCCAGGGAACAAATCCTTCCCAATATCCCATCCATCCCTGCCCCCTGGCAGTTTAAAGCCATTCCCCTTGTCCTGGCACTAAGTGCCCTTGTTAAAGGGCTCACAGAGACTCTTTGACAGGTGAGAACAGAGATTTCTGAAGAATCTCTCCTCACCAAATAAAGGTCTCTATTTATAAAATAAAGCAGTTCAGTGGAACTATTTGCACAGAGAGAATGAGGCACGTTGAACTCTCAGAAGAACAGGGCACACCACCCAAATTTGGTGCTGCAGAACAGCACAATTCAAAATAAAACTCCACGAGTTCTTAACAGCAGGACATGACCTCACGAATAAGTTTCATTTGCTCAGTTCCCTGAATGTGCTAAAAGAAATAAAAGAAAGGTGTAAACTTTCCAGGACACTGGACTGGGCAGGTTATAACACTGAGAGGTTTGTTCAGAGAAGTGCAGCCAAAATAAGGATATTTAGGATTTTATCCTTCCATCCTTCTGAAGAACTCTAACCCGTCAATCCCCCAGGCTCTTTCCCTTGAGCAAGACAAACCTCTCTAGAGGTTTATGTACAAATAGACGAGTGGAGAAATGTGTTTTGAAGTGCCTGAAACACGTGTGGTTTGCAGCTCCTCTCCGAGTTCGCGGACGTGTCGCGAGTTACCGCAAACAGGTTCCGAAAAACCAGAAACGCTGCGAGCAGCAGGAAATGAAAGCAGCTCCCAGCAGAGCAGCTGTGACACACGGCACGGTCACACTCAGCCCTGCCGGGCTCAAACTGCAGATCTTCTCTCTCTCTCTGACTAAACCAGTTCCTCTCTGAGCCAGAAACGAGCCCCGGGCAGCTCAGGGGCTTCAGAGAGCCCCGAAGGCTGGAGGAGGTTTTGGGGCTGGGAAAGGCACATTGAGCTCACACTGACACTTCCTGCGGACACCAAAAAAAGTGAGATTTCATCTTGTTTGTGCACTCGGTGGAGGCTGCAGGGGAAGGACTCTCCCAGACATGAGCCCAGCTTTGGGTGGGGGACTGAGTGTTTGAACTCCTGTGTGAAACAAAATGGCACTTAAGGGATTTTAGCTTCAAAAGATCAGAGAAATCAGAGATTTGGTTAAATTGGAATAGTCCTCTCAGACCATGGAGTCCAAGCATTCCCCCAGCACTGCCAAGGCCACACTGACCCATGTCCCCAAGTGCCACATGCCCAGGGCTGTTAAACCCCGCCAGGGATGGGGGCTCATCCTGTGCCAGAGCTGAGTTTAATTCTGAAGCACTGAAATAGCAACAGCAGAGCTCACACAGCAGAGCCAGAGGTGCTCCCACGGCAAGGCAAAGGGGAGGAAAAGTCCCAGGGAATATTCCCAAGGGATGCTCATCAACAGCACAGCAGCAGCAGGCAGGACTGGGCTGTGACAGGAGCTCTGCAGCAGGGCAAGAGCACAGAGAAGCCATCTGAGCCTCCATGTGATCAGTGCTTCCTCAATTCAGAGCCAGGAGAGGGGATCAGTGCCAGGGCAGCACATGAGTTTCAGATTTTACTGAATTTGTCCCCTCAAGTCACGCTGCTTCTCTCTGTGGTGACCCGTGGGAGGTGACACCTCACACCGGGACACATTTCCCTCTCAGCTTCAAGGCTCCATCCTCAGGGGACAAAAGAACCCAAAAGCAGTGACTTTGCTGCTTTTCCTGTGTTTATTTTTTAAAGGTTGGAAAGGCTGTTTTTCCCTGCCTTTACAATTGGTGACTGGGGTGCTTTGCAAAAAGCAATTTTCTGGAATTGTCACAGCTTGTAAACCTGAAACAACTGCAGACACACTGGCCCATATATGTATGTGTGTGTATATATATACACAGCTTAGATTAGTGCCTGGCAGGGAAAATAAAAACAATAATAATAATAATAATAATAATAATAATGATGTTGTAACCCAGCTCTGGATCACGAAGTCCTTGAGGCAGGGCTGCTGGAGGAGAAGAGACTGTACCACAGGTTGTTTGTTCTTCCCAAGCACCCACTCCTGGCCACTCCTGAACACGAGGTCCTGGGCTGTGAGGCACAGGTAACTTCTAAAACTGCACAGCAATGAGGAAGTTGAACACATCCTCCTCTCCCAAGGATTCCCTATTTCCCTATTCCCTCATCAAAGCCAGCACCCCCTGTGCTTGCAGGGCAGCACAAACACGGTGTCCCTGCCCAGAGCTGTGCTCGGGATGTGGATGGGTTTGGGAGACGTTGGTTTGTTTGTTTAATTGTTAAATTGGTAGGAGATGCTCCTGGCAGGGTGTGGGACTCGATGACCTCTAAGGGTCCTTCCCAACCTAAATTATTTATGTTTTAGAGGAGCACAAGCTCTGGGGCTGCAGAGCTGCTACAGGCAGGGAGCCCTAAAGCTCACCCAGTGCCACAGGCAGGGACACTTTCCACTGTCCCAGGCTGCTCCTTGGACATTGCAGGGATCCAGGGGCAGCTGGATCTGGACACCCTGTGCCAGGGCTGCCCACCCTCACAGGGAACAATCCCTTCCCAATATTCCATCTATTTCTGCCTTCTGGCAGTGGAAATTCATTCCTTCTTGTCCTGTCATTCCAGGCTTTTCCTAAAAATGAAGGCTTCACATCACACTTTCCAAAACCAACTTCCCAAAGGAAAAAAAGCACTCCTGTGAGTGACTACAAGAATGAGATTCTCAGTTATTACTCAGCTCAATTCCCTCTTGATTTCAACAAATCCCAGTACCCAGCAGGAAGGAACTTCACTATCACTGCTCCTGCTGAGCAAATCATTGTCACAGCCCCTCTGTGTCCCCTGGGATGGGCAGTCCTGTCCCAGCACTGGGCCTGCTCTGCCTTACCTGGGGAGCAGCTCCTGAGAGCAAGCCCTGATCTTTGTCTCAGGAAGAACTGCTTTATTGCCAGGAACAGCCTGACCTCAACCTGCAGCCAGGTGACAGCTGTTCCCCAAAGTGCAATCTGTTTATTGACAGGAAACAAGAGCAGGGATGGCAGTGGTTGCTGGCTCCTCACAGCACCCAGGGCCTCCCTGGCTCTCCACAGCCAGAAGCCAAAGAGTTTCACTGAGTGTGGAAATGGTGCAGCAAAGTGCAGCAAAAAGGAACCCAGACAGAACAAGGCAAACACTTCCAAAATCACTTCAGGAGTTTTATTCTTGCATTCCTCCTGGAAAGGAATGAAAAGCAGCTCCCAGGCACTCAGGGGGCATAGCCAAGAACCTCCCCCAAAGCAGGCAGAGGCACTCTCAGCTGGTTTCCCATCCCCCTGTTATCACTAACACATGCCTTATCTCACACACTGTGTGGATCACACAGAAAACTTCTGAATTTTAACCATTTGATGGGCCAGGGACCTGCAGAACTCCCCAAAATCTTCTGCCCGAGAGGCTGTGATGCCCCTGGATCCCTGGCAGTGCCCAAGGCCAGGCTGGACGGGGTTTGGAACACCCTGGGACATTGGAAGGTGTCCCCAGGGGCAGGAATGGCACTGGCTGGGCTTTAAGGTCTTTTCCCAGCCAAAGCACTGTGTGATTCCATGACTCCATGCCTGGAATGCCTCCACCGTGCTGTGTATGGCTTTTAACACGTCAGGCACATTCTGTCAGCAGCAGAGGAGCAGCCATCCCACACACAGAGGAATGAAGGAAAACCAGTTTCCTGTACACTGCACTGGGCCTTTCCTTCCCTGGCCCTTCACACGCCCCCTGATAACCCCAGTGGAACACTCTGTATTTATGTGCAATGGGATCATTTCGGTTGGAAAAGACCTCCAGGAACACCAAGTCCAACCTTGTCACCCAGCCCAGGGCACTGAGTGCCACTTCCAATCATTCCTTGGACACCTCCAGGGATGGGGACTCCAAAGCTCCCTGGACAGACCCTCCCTGTGCCTGACCACCCTTTCCATGGGGAAATTCCTGCTGATACCCGAGCTGAGCCTCCCCAGGACAGCTTGAGTTTCCTCTTGTCCCGTTGCCATTTACTGACTTCACCCCAGAAGCAGGAGTGTGCCCAGACAGAGCAGCTCCCACTGCAGAACCTCCTGCTTGTCCCTCACCCATCCCATCCTGGCCCCTCTTCTAGCCACGAGCCATCTCACAAAACTCACAACACTCACAGAAAGTACAGGAAAAACAAAGACAAAGGAAAGAAATCAAAGCAACAGCCAGAAGCTGCTGTGTCAGGCGAGCTGGGAGCTCTTTTTGCCAAGGGAAAGTGGAATTTTCAGCCAAAGCAGGGGGAACTGATGGGTCAGGAACTGCAGAGCTGTTTTAAACAAATCCTCCTGTAATCTCCAGTGCTTGTTTTGAAAAGCAATGTGTGCATGATAGGACAGGTATGGGGAAACCTGCTCAGCTCCTCAGCCAAGTATTTCCCCTTAGCAAAGAGCATCTCAAAATATCCCAACGTGGGCATCTCCTGCTGGAAAGCAGCACTTGGCACTGCTCTCTCTCTCTCTGCTGCAAGCTGGAAATTCTCCAGAGCCTCTCCTCACAACTATGAAGAAAACTGAGTTTTTTAACCTGTTTAAGTTGATGTTCCCCCATTTATTTAGATAGCTTGGGATGTGGCTTTGCATACTTGGCAGATTCAAGAATACAAAAAAACACCTGAGTAATTTATGATACTCAGTTTGAGGCCAAACTGCAAGAAGCAGCTGAAGGAGGTGCATTACAAACTAACTAAACAAGGTTTACCACTCCTCTGAGATCACATTCCCCCAGGTGAGAGGCAACAACTCCATGTGTGTTTTACATGACTCACCTCAATAACTTATCACCATCATTACTCATCCCAATAATTAAGAGGAAGGTTTATATAAATAGCTCCTTGAAGAACACCCTAATTTAGAGCTCATTCCCTAATTGAGCTGATGGCCAACACTTTCTGGAAGGGCCCAGATGATGGCAGTCCCACTCAGCACACCCCAAAGTGGGACACAGGGCACAGAGCAGAGCCTTGCTGCTCGCACAGAATGCTGAGCAGGCTTTTCCTCTGCCTGCCAGGGAGCAGACAGAGCCTGCAAAGCTCGTCTGACCACGGCAGATTAATGGCTTTAACAATAATGCTGCAACCATGGGCTGCAGCACTGGCTGGGCACGTTCACAGCTCCCTGAGGGGACCCAGCACAGGGACACTGGGCACCAGTGAGGGACCCCCGGGGAAAACTGGGACCCCCCAACCCTCGGCAGGTTCTCCTCACACAAAGTGATGTTGCATAAGAAGAAGCTGGTGATGGTGCACAGTAAAACTTTTGACCTCCCACCTCAAAACCCGGCTTAAAATCTTGGCAAGTCAAAGTTCTAAGGAGGATCAGACTCAAAGTTTGAAATCAGAAGCTCTGGGCTTAGATGGAGCTTCACTCCAAAGGTCTCACTGACACTTATCCAGACGTGAAGCTCTTCCAAGGTTGGAAGGGATCTCAAATGTCAGCTCATTCCACCCCCGGGACACCTTCCACTGTCCCAGGCTGCTCCAAACCCCATCCAGCCTGGCCTGGGACACTGCCAGGGATCCAGGGACAGCCACAGCTTCCCTCCCCAGGGTCTCCCCATCCTCACGGGAGGAATTTCTCCCCAATATCCAGGTAAATGTGCAGTTTGGCAGAAGCCACCCAGCCCAGCAAGGACAGCTCTGTGTCCCCAGGCTGTGCCTCCATGTCCCTGCCCTGACACTCAGGGAATGTCCTGACTCTGGCACACCCTGCCAGCCCTGTCCCCAGCTGGGTCACACAGAAATCCACGTCCCTTAGCCCCAGCAGCCCGGGAGCTGCACACCCAGGACAAGGGAGATGTGACAGCAGCTCCCCAGCCTGGGGGGGACTAAGCCATGAGCAAGCTCTGTGCCCTTTGCCATTAATCACCCCCAGGTCCGTCCTGTAGGACACAGAGCCCGTGAGCAGTGATGGATTCAGTGACACAAGTTCTGAAAGGAAACCATTTGCTCGTTTGCACGGAGCTCAAGGTTCAGCCATTGAATGGGCCCGTCTCTGGCTGTGCTGGTTTGTTTTCAGAAATCACTTCCAACACTTGGGAAATAAAAGTTCCTCTGTTGTAAAATACAGCAAATTTTATCTGCTGTGCACTTAGAAGATTTTTCAATTATTTTTTTAAAGACTGGCTTTCAAAAACTATATTTCTTCCAGACAATTCTACTACATATCCTACTGCATTTTCAGCGTGGGCCACCCATATTCTGATATTGCCAGCATTAAAAAGGCCCTGGCAGAGGATGCCCAGAGCAGCTGTGGCTGTCCCTGGATCCCTGGCAGTGCCCAAGGCCAGGCTGGACATTGGGGACAGTGGGAGGGGTCCCTGCCATGGCAGGGGTGGCACTGGGTGATCTCTAAGATCCCTTCCAGCCCAAACCAGTCTACGAAAAAGGTTGAATTTGGTGTCTAATCCAACATCAAATCAAGTGAAAGTAAAGACTAACACTGACTTTAAGCACTAGCTTTGGTCTCTGGTGCCAAATGAGAAATCTCAGCCCAATAAATGAGAATAAAATATTGAGAAAGCAGGGATATCCTTCAGGAACTGAAAGGAAGAAGTAGTGAGCAGAACCCTGAAGAATTCGGGTAGCCAAGGCAATGTGAAGTTTTGACTCCAGAAATGTCACTTTGAACTGGAGTTGTGCCAGCCTGGCAAACTTCTCCTCTCTTATCTGCCCTGCCACAATGCGCACCACACACTTCCTCCAGAAAAAAAAAAACAAAAAACAAACCAGGCTGCACCTTGCACCAACTGGACCCTGCCAGCATCACCCTTCACCACTGCTCCTCAAACTGGAACCTGCAGGGGAGGAGCTGAATGAAGGAGTTTTAGCTCTGGGGGTGCAGGAGCCCACACGGGTCACACAACCACATCAACCCAACAGCTGTGGGCTAATTTTAGAAAATGAGTCAATAAACACAGCTCTGTACAGAGAAAACAATAACTTCCAATAACTGCTTTAATGGTGGAGATGATTTCTGCCAGGGTGGCTCAGGTTGCTCACAGGGAATTTAGCTGAAACACCCCCATTTACTGTCAGTGAAATGACATTTCCCAAGGTGTCCCCAGAGCTGCCCAGCTCTGCTTTAGCGGTTTGGGATGGAATGATGCAGACTGTGCTGGGAGTCACAGCCAGGCTGTGCTCACAGTGACACAGAGCAACTGCTCTGTCATTCCTGTCCCCAGAGCTGCCAAGGCTCTTTCATGCTGCCACTTTGTCCAGCACAGAGAAAAGACTTAATTAGGAACGCCAAGAACAAGCACAGCATTCCACGACAGTCTCTGAATTCCTACAGAGCTGGTTTTCTTATTTCACACACTCCAAGTCCTCCAGCTTCAAAGAGCACATTCAGTGCTGTTTTAGTTCTACAGGTGTACAAGAATTTTTTGTTGAGTTAAACTTGTTGGATATAAATAGGGAAACGTCATAGCAGGGTTTCTAACACCTTTGGATACAAGTATGAGGAAAAAAAAAAGGCACACCCTGTTATATTCCTGCCTTCCCAGCAAGGGAGTAAATTCAGTTACCTACCGATACTTGACTTTGATCTTGTCATTGTCAGGGTTGCAGTAAAGCCTTTCCAGGTGCTCCTGGGAATCGTTGGTCACACTTTGCCACCTCTGGGTTGCTGTCCTCCTCACCTGCCAGTGATAGGGTAACACTGTGTGATGCTTGGGACAATCACTGCCATAAACACAAGTGCCCTGGAGAAAATCCACACAGATTTCAATCCCGTCCTCCTGGTGGGTGTGATACTGCAGCTGGTTCAAGAGCTCAAACACCAAGTCCAGGGAAGCTTCTTCACTTTTATCCTGGAATATCCCAGCACTGAATTTATTGCTTGGGGTCAAGTTGTATTGCATTGGACAGCTGTTCTCCTGCAGCAAGCCAGATGTGTAACTTTCCAGAACCTTGTCAGGGAACAAAGGACAAGCTGCAGCATCGCCAGCACTTGGGTGCAAAGGATGATCCTGGAATGATTCATTACCATTATCAGCAGCGGTTCCAGGAGTTTCTGGGGAGAAACCTTGCTCTCCTGACTGAACATCCTGCTCAGGATGCCCGGGGGAAGGGTGAGCTGCTGCCAGCTGACCCTGCACATCTGGAGCTGCTGGCATCAGCACAGTCACATTATTTTCTGTCTGGGGACAAGAGGTACCGAGGTCCAGAGTCTTTTTCACAGCAGGTTCACATAAATCTCTGTGGCCACCACGCTGCCCCCGGGGCACAAAGACCCTGTCCAAGGCCCCAGCTCCCAGCAGGCTGGTGAAGATCGGCCTCAAAGCCCGCAGGGTTTGTGAGTCCAGCCTCTTCTGCACTTGCTGCTTCTTCTTGAAGCAAGGCTTCACCGGTGGGATCTTTTCAGCCAGCCTCAGCTGGGGAGAAAAGTCCTGTGAAGGAGAGCACTGCATAGCTGGGCAGGGAGCCTGGGGCACCACGCACGCTGCCTGGGGCTCCGTGTCCATCGCACACGGACTTTGCTCTCTCCAAATCACTTTCAAACGTCCCACAGCCTCCCTGGAATCAACCTAGGGCAGAAAGGAAAACAAGACAGTTAATCTCTCTAATTGCTCATGGTTGACACGAACAAGATCACCCCTGGAGAGGATTTCGAGGCAGCAGCAGCAGCAAACTCCTCCCCTGGCTGTGACTGCGGGTAGCCCTTAGGCACGTAAAGCATGGAAACAGCTAAACTGGGGCTAATTAATCCCAAACCCACACTCCCCATGGCCCCGCACATGCCGGCTCTGAGCCACTCCGGCACGCACTCGCGGTCCCCCGAGGGCGGCAGGAAAGGAAAGGAAAGGAAAGGAAAGGGGGGTGGTCCCACGCCTCCTCCCCGGCAGGATGCTCAGCAAACAAGAAAGAGCGCTCGGGTTCATCCCGCCCCACAAAAAGCGAAGCTGACAGCGCTGATTTCCGCGCCTCCCTCACACACAGACCTGAGCAGCATGAGACACATCCCCCACACGCATTTGAGACGTTCCTGCACCATTTCCTCTCCCACCGGAGGAGCAAACCTACACATTCCCATTCCGTGCGCGTGTGTCCTCCCTCGTGTCACCTCCCACATCCTCCCGGCAGCACCGCCGGGGACCCACGGCAAAACTTCCCACGGGCTTCCCACCACGCCACCCTGGAATTGTGAGGAATTCCAGAGCTCGCAGCCCGTCCCTGTCCCCGCCCTCGCTCCGTGCCACCGCTGGTGACACACACCGCGCTGGGCAACAGGAATTCAAACTGGCCAGGGAAGCAAACAGGAGGGTGATGGTTACTCAGGAAGCGAGAAGGACATTGCTCGCGAGCTGCAGAATTGTGTTGTTTAAAAGCACAATTAAGCAGTGTGTCTCGTACGTCACCAAAAGCAAGTGCTATACGCCTTTTAATCAGGAATCCTGTAATATTTGATTACATTTAATTAAACCTTCTTCAATCTCACATGCAGGCTAGAGGCTCAGAGTGGAGCACATTAAGGATTACTTCCTGGATGAATGCGTTCCGACCAAAGTTACTCCTCACTTCAAAACAAAATCCCAAAAAAACTGAGAAAATTTGGCAACAAATTCTTACTACTGACGATTCGCTCTGGAAAATTTCTCATCGAGCCTTCCGTATTTTGGAACATGCATTTGTAAGGCTTTTCCATTTCCCTGGGAAACAGCACGTCAGAATTGCCAGGAAAAAAAAAAAAAAAAAAAGTTGTGCCTCTCCGGTTTTCTCATTTTTAGATTAAATTTAAAGGAACTGGCGCATGTGTTTGGCAGTTAACCCCAAAGTCATCGGTGTATCTGTAATTCCTCCACAGGCAATTCCTCCAAAGCACCAAAGGCACCTTCAGGTAACTCCTCCAAAGGTTTAAAAATCCTCGACTCCGGGGAGAATGAGATGTTCCCGTTCACGCAGCCCAGGTCTCAGTGCCCTGGCGAGGAGCGAGAGATCTGCCAGGGCTGCAGCGCCAAGGTGCTGAGCAAGTGACTTCTGATCTCCTCCAGCCATCCCTCTGCTGCTACTTCAACATTCCTATTCCTCACTGCGCCAGCATTTTAAGTTTTGCTGCTATTTTTACAGAGCCGCCTCAGTGAACGGAGCCGAGCCGGATCCCGCAATGACTCTAAAATCTAAAAATAAAAGCAGAATTCGGGCCGAGTGCGCGGTCCCGCAGCGATGCTCCCGATGCCAGCCCGGGGGATGGGGGGGGGATCGCTCCCCGAGCGCTCTCATCGCACGCGAACCGCGGCTCCTGCGCTCCACAAAGGCGCTCCACGCACCTTCCAGCAGCGAACAATAAAAGCACAGCAGCGCAGACACACGGGCCGAGCACGGCGGGGCTGCCGGCACCTACCGGAGCGGCTCCCTCGGCGCTGCTCCTGCCTCCCGACACAAACGCTCGGTAACTCCAGAGCGGGGTGGCTTATTCTGGCGGCGAGGAGATGGAATAAACACAGCGTGGGGATATCGTGACACCGTGCAGGGTCAGCAGCGCCGTGTCCGCTCCCGCAGCCAGGGCCGGCCGCTCGTCCCGCACATCCCGCACAGCCCCGGCCGCGCTGCTCCGCGCCCGCTCCGCTTAAATAGCGCAGCCAAGGGAGCGGGAGGGCCGAGCAGCGAGGGCAGCGCCGGCCGGGGCGGAGCGGGGCGGGCCGGGCCGGTTCCCCCGCCCCGGGCTGGGCTGGGCTGGGCCGGGCCCCGGTTCCGTGCCGTCCCCCCGCGGCGCCGGCCGGGCTGGGCCGGGCTGAGCTGGGCTGGGCTGGGCTGGGCCGGGCTCCAGCCCCGTGGCCGCCCCGCTGTCCGTCCGCACCCAGCAACCAGAACCGAAAGCGCCGCCCGAGGCCGTTCCCCGGAGCGATAGCACAAGGGGCCCCTTCGCGTTTCATTTATCACGCACCGAGCGTTTCGGTTCAGGCAGGGAGGGAAGGAGGGAGGGATGTCCCCGAGCACGACGAGGAGTGCGTGGGGTTCGCACGCGAGCCGGGAACACGCCGGGAATGAGCCGGGAACACGCCGGGAATGAGCCGTGTCAGCTCCAGTCACGCAGCACTCAGGAACACACCGTCCTCAGGGAAAGCAAGGACGGCACTCCGAGCCCTTCCCCGCGCCGCCGAGCTCTCGCTAATTAATGAGTAAGAGACAAACAGGGAGCCCATCCCGGAACAAAGTCACCCTGACTCACCGTGTGCACCCACACGCTGCCCCGCTCCCGGCTCTGCTCCTGCCGCTGACACACTCCCGAAAATGCAGCGTGCACTCCAACAGGTTTCCCGGAGAGGCTGTGGCTGCTCAAGGCCAGCCTGGCTGGGGTTTGCAGCAGTCTGGTCGAAGGAAGGTGTCCCTGCCCGTGGCAGGGGGTGGGGTGAGATGTTTTAAGGTCCTTTCCCAAGCAGGCAGCTATTGTTTATTGACGGAGTATTTCACAGGCGGCACTGGCTAAGAGCGCAGCTTGTCCCAAAGAGCTCCCTTTGTCCCAAAGCCGTGTCCGTGCTGTCACAGTCCGTCTGTCTGTCTGTACGTGTGATGGAGCACGGGCCGTGCTGGCCTGGCATGCTTCCCTGCTGAATCACTGCCTGCTCCCGGAGAAAAACCCCAGCGGGACACAGCCAGCAGCTCACACCGACACCCACCACCACAACCACATCCACAGCACTGATAATGGCCAGATAAACAACTGATAATGGAGTCAGGAACTTCAGAATGTGACATTCACGCTGATGGAACACCTATTGTGTTATCTGCCCAGAGAAGATGGGGTTCCCCATCCCTAGGAATGTCCAAGGACAGAGCTTGGAGCAGCCTGACCTTTGGAAGGTGTCCCCACCCATGGCAGGGGCTGGATGATCGAGATGAGCTTTAAGGTCCTTCCATCCCAAACCACTCTGAGCTTCCACAACTCGTGCTCTTGTTTTCTTTCTAAAGCCAGGCTTTCATTCCTTGTGCTCAGTGACTTTATGAAATTACACGTACAGAAAACACAGGCAGCTGGAGGGAAACTTGTTTTAAGGTGGCACAAGCTGTACAGCACAGTTGGAAAACTGTGCACAGCTGCATTTATAGTGCAGGTAGGATATGCCATTTTCCCAACAAATTACAGAAATGGAGCTCCATAGAATCACAGACTTTCTGGGGTTGGGAAGGACCTTAAAGCTCATCCAGTCCTACCTTCCATTATCCCAGGCTGGTCCAAGCCCTGTCCAACCTGGCCTTGGACTTGCAGGGACCCAGGGGCAGCCACAGCTGCTCTGTGCCAGGGCCTCCCCAACCCTCCCAGGGGAGAATTTTATCCAATCCAAACCTACTCTTTGTCAGTTTGAAGCCATTCCCCCTTGTCCTGTCCCTCTCCAATGCAGCTGGAGAGAGAATGACTCAAAAGAGGCTGAGTAAAGGTGGCTTCAATATCTGCAGGAGCTGAAAACCAACAATCATCTATAAATTAATTGAGCTCTTGAGTGTCTGAGGGATCAGACAGAGCCTCCCAGTCTGTCTGGACTGGAGTGTTCCCGAGCAGGGTGACTGGGATGTGTCACATCCTCTTTCAGGGAGAAGGAGCTGCTCACACACACTTTATTTATGTGGTATTTATGTGCCACCAGCAGAACAGAAATTGCCACTTTGGAATAGCTCCCTTCACGCACGAGCTATAAATAAGAGGCACATATGGCTGATCTGCACACTGGGGTGGGCACAGCTCCCGCTGCACTGGGGCTGCGAGCATGGAACCAGGCAAAGGCAGAGGCTGCAATAACCATCTTTCCCCAAACAAATATGTAATTAAATGAAACACACCACACCAGACCCTCGGACACCCATTTCTGAGGCCATCCCACACAAATATAGAAAGAAACTGACCACCATGAAAGCATGATCTCATCTTTAAATACATGTTTAAAACTTAAGCAAGAGAAAGAAAGCTTTAATTATTTCTTTCAGATGGTAAACGGCCCCAGCTGAATACAGCAATTTACAACTCTGACTTGCAAATACAGGATAATCAGTATGCACACTTGGATTCGCTGATGAAAAGAGGGGAAACATCTGACTTAAATGTTTGTGATAAAACAACAAAGCTCTCAGGCTCCAGCACATTTTTTTCTAATGACAGAACTCCTTTTCCACCTCAACTCTTGCACAATGAGCATTCTTCACTTCCTAAAACACACCCCAGTACAGGAAAGTTCATTGTCCTTTCTAGTGTTTCACACAAGGCAACAAACAACACAACTAACAAAGGGATCACAGAATGGTTGGGGTGGCAAAGACCTTAAATCTCACCTCATTCCCACCCTGCCATGGGCAGGGACACCTCCCACTGTCCCAGGGTGATCCAGCCTGGCCTTGGGCACTGCCAGGGATCCAGGGGCAGCCACAGCTGCTCTGGGAATTCCATCCCAATATCCGACCCATCCCTGCCCTCTCTCCATTCCCTGGGTCCTGTCCCTCCATCCCTTGTCCCCAGTCCCTCTCTGAGCTCTCCCTGGATCCTTCTCCTCTCCAGGGGAACATTCCCAGCTCTCCCAGCCTGGCTCCAGCCCTGGAGCAGCTCCATGGAATCCTCTGGGCTCTCGCCAGCAGCTCCAGGTCCCTCCTGTGCTGTGTCCCAGATGTGGGGTCTCACCTGAGCGGGGCAGAATTTCTCCTGCCCTGCTGCCCACGCTGGGCACGGGAGGTTCTGGGGGCCAGGCTGGGTCATGCTGAGCTCCCAAATTCTCCTCAAGGCAGCTCCCAGTGCCTGGATTTGTGCTTTTCCATCCCAAAGCTCGATGGCCAGTGCTAATCCCCTGCAAGTGCCACCCCAAGCTGTCCCCTTTGCCAGCCAGGGTCGGTGAGCACCCAGGGAAAGGAAAGGTCAACGATGCAGACATTTATTAAAATGTAAGAGCAGGGAAAAGGGAATTTCTGGTGTTCTGTGAGGGTGAAACGATGGCAGGCAGGTTTCACTGACGGGAAGGAAGAGGCAGGAGGGCAGCAGAGGTTTTATTTATTTATTCACAGCTGCACTCACGAAGCCTTGGCTGGGCTGACACCTACTGGGCTCCACTTGCTGTGCTCGGTCCTCAAAACAAGGCAGGCAGAAATAGCACAGTCTAAACACGCCAAGATGAAATTTCCTAGTCATTAAATTCATTTCTTAATGAATTTCTATTCATTACTTTCGTTCTGTTAGTTCATGCTATTAGTCTCCAGACTTTATCTGTTAATACACGATAACCTAGAGCAGCTCAATAGAAGAAAGTGCTGCTGGTCTTTAAAATAAAAATTTCCTTGGTGGTTAAACATTCACTGTGTGTTGGGGAGTTTTTAGTAAACCTCATTTTTTTTTTTTTCACGCTGCTCAAAAGAAAAGTCTCAAAACTAGAGTGGTTCTAATTAATCAATGAACTCTTTTAAATTCAGACCAAACTTTTACATTTGCAGCTGGCAGTAACCAAAGTCATTTCCTTGGTCTCAAATACTCCCTCTTTTAACATCTTGTACTACTAATTAAAAGGTTTGGAAGCTACTGAATATCAAGTCTGGTGAAAACAGCATTTATCAGGAAAAAAAAAAATCATTGTACATGAGTATCACCACACCTCTGGTTATTTCACTATCAAATAATCTTATCTCAGGAAGTGATTTAGGATTGATGAATTTGGATAGGGAACACAGGATTCCAGGGTGGGCCCTTTTCCGGGAGATCTGTCAGGAGTTAA